AAAAAGAAAAATAAATAAATAGCGTTTTGCCAGGCGAGGCAAGTGATAGTGTAAGGGCAGCTGAAGCCTTGTGAAAAGTAGTGAAAGGTTAAGCCAGTCGGGGCTTGTTTAAGAACAGTCGAAGCCCAGTGCAAAACCGGTTTTTATATTTCAGTGGCGGAACCAGAGTTTGGCGTCGGCATCATCCGGAGGAGCCCACACCCGACCGAGCAACCGCTAAGTATCATATTGTTAATTTATTGTTTGCTTGCGCTTTGTCGTGCTGACAGTGTCACCACCCTCGTTACGTCCCTACCCATCCTTCCAGCATCTCGCACCCATAGCCCAGTCATACAGGCGGGTTAAAGTTACGCCCGGCAGCACGGGAGTAGTGCGAGTGGGTTCGTAACCAGTTCGGTTGAACCACACCTCGGGTGCACCCAAAAATATATTTTGTTTTATTAATCTGTAGCTTGACTTTGCTGTTAAATCTTTGTTGTCGTGCAATTTGTTTACCGCGTTAGCGAAATTCACTTGGTGTTGTATTTCTCCCCGTTGGATTTTGTTATTGTACGCAGCTAGCGACCCACGCCGTCTTCACTAAGCTGGCCGGTCGCTTTGTTAGTTTTTGTCATCTCCTTTTTGTGCGGTAGTTTGTTTTGACGTGTGTGGTTGTTGGTAGGCGCTTGACCAACAGCCACTTTAGGTATACATATGTATGTACGTATGTACATGCGCACATACATATTGTAATAATAAAAAGTGGAGGTGACAAGTTGGCGCCCAACGTCGGACCCAAAATTTATAGATACATATATTTTGCAAAAGAGGTTGTCCTTTGAAAAATTGATTTTGTTCCAGCACATTCCGAGTGGCGTTTTGTGCTGTTGTTTTTGTGTTTTCATAATTATTAATAATTTGCTATTTTTTTTATTTAGTGTTGGTAGGGCGTTCCACGAGTGGAAAGAGTTAGAAGAGATTGGGACTTGAGCCCAGGCCCACAGGAGAGTTGAATAGTCTAATCTATAGAGAAGAAAGTTGGTGAGTCCGTTCCGTTTTGTCATTTTTTTTGTTTGTTGCGGTAAATTTATTTGAGCATTATACCGGTAGTAATAATTGAACGTCAAGTGGATAGAGACTGGTCCAGAAGTAACCAGTAGTAGTCCTACCGAGTCAAATCGTGGTTTTTGGTTTCTTTCGTCAACTAAAGATTTGTTTTGTCGATATTTGATTTTATTTCAATTAAACTTCTGTTTTTTATTTTATTTATCAAATTATTTCATTAATTTTTTGTATTGTCACCGTAGACGATAATCCGTTTTTTGAATAAATTTTCTTGTTTCGTGTGGTTAGACTCTACTGTTGTTTTCGTGATAGGGTGTTTTGTTGTGCCAGAATAGGGCAACGCGGAAGAAACTTTAGGGTGATAGATTTTTTTTTAATTTGAATATAACTAAAATTTTGTTTATTTAATACATTTTTTTTCTTTGGTTTTTTTCTCCGTTTTCAGTTAACATTTTTTTATTTTAATATGGAGATTAATCGCTTAGCGCAGGATGAGCTCGCGAACGAGGTGGAGGCGCGCGGCCTTCCAGTCGGTACGGTCGAGGCCATGCGTAGGGCGCTAAGGCATCGCGGTTAATTGAGCGAAGAGGTTCGGTAAACCTCTTCCAAGACTACCTCTTCAGTTTCGACGAAGATAAGGCGGGCAACGACGGCGAGATGAGTCAGCAGATGGAGCTGAAGAGCAAGTTGTTGCTCCATCTCGCCGAACTACAAGAGGTAGGCGGCAGCGAAGAAGCCGAAGAGGAAATCGGTTCGGTCGAGCGCTCGAGTGCCACTCGTGCGGATCCGATAGTACCCCCGCACGTGGAGATACGACGCGTGGCCGAGGAGACAGTCGAGTCTCAGAAGCCGGTGAACTTGTCAAAGTGGGACGTCCACTTTGACGGCGAAAAAGCGGGAATGTCGCTTTTCGCGTTTTTAGAAAGGGTAGAGGAGTTAAGCGAGGCACGCGGTGTGACCCAAGCTCAACTTTTTCGCGGCGCGGTAGATTTGTTTAGTGGAAAGGCGTTATTATGGTTCAGGTCGGTTAGAAAGACATTAGGTAGTTGGGAGGAGCTAGTAAGAGAGTTGAAGTTGGAGTTTTTGCACCCCAACTACGACTACCTCCTACTAGATGAGATAAGAAGAAGGACTTAGGGAACGAACTAGTCCATAGGCGTTTATGTAGCGACGATGAAGATAATGTTTGGTAGGCTTCAGGAGCCTTTATCTAAAAGAAGGATGTTAGGATTGATTAGGTCGAATCTCCTTCCCTTTTATTAGACCCTGTTAGCACTGATTACGATAGGGTCGATCACGGAACCAAACGAAGTTTGGCTTCCAGTGGTGGTCGAAACCAAGGAATGCCTCGTGGTTCCAGAGTTACCTCAAGGCATAAATCTTGGCATCGATGTTTGGGCCAAGGCGGGTATTATCCCGGATTTATCGAAAATGGCGTGGTCGTTTTCTCGGCCGGAACCAGAACCATTGGTGCCAATAGTGGACCACTCCGAGTTAGGCGATAGAGAGTTTAGGTCATTAGATCATTTAATAGATGCGGCATTCCAGGCTATGCCGGAAGGGCTAGGCCGGACCCATTTGGTCGAGCATAGAATCAGGGTAAAGGCAGGAGTGGAACCTGTAAAACAGAGGTATTACCCTGTGTCTCCCGTCATACAGTCGCGTATGGACGAAGAGATTAAGGATATGCTCGATAAAGGGGTGATAGAGAAATCACATAGTCTTTGGGCGTCTCCAGTAGTTATGATCAGGAGGAAGGACGGTACATATAGGTTTTGTGTAGATTATAGGGTTTTAAATCAATGTAACCAGAAAGATAGTTACCCACTCCCATATGTATCGGCGACCTTAGATAAGCTAAAGGACGCCAAGTTTCTGTCCAGTCTGGATATTAAGTCCGCTTATTGGCAAATTCCGGTGGAGTAGCAGTCGAGGCCCTTCACAGCGTTTACGGTACCAGGCAGAGGACTATTTCAGTTCAAATGGATGCCATACGGTTTACATAATGCACCGGAAACTTGACATAGATTTATAGATTCGGTCATAGGACCCGAGTTAGAACCTCTTGTTTTTGTGTATTTGGACGATATTATTATCGTCACAAATATTTTTGAGACACATTTAGAGATTTTGAAAGACGTTTTGGATAGACTAGCTAGATCAGGGCTTAAATTAAATAGCGAAAAAATAGGGCTACGTGCTGAACAAGAATGGTCTACACGTAGACCCCGAGAAGGTAGAGGCGATGCTTCGGATTGAGGTACCGAAAAACGTAAAGAAAGTGCAGTCATTTATAGGAACAGTGTCCTGGTACCGCAGATTTATAAAAGGCTTTCCAGAATTAGTTAGGCCTCTCACCGATTTAACAAAGAATAATCGAAACTTCAATTGGACTGAAGATTGTGAAAGGAGTTTTTGAGAAGCGAAAGAGCGCTAGGTGACAGCTCCGGTTTTGAGTTGCCCGCATTTTGATAGGCCTTTTACAATCCAGGCAGACGCGTCTGATTTCGGTATAGGTGCGGTGCTAACGCAGATGTTTGATGACGGTGAGAGGGTTATAGCTTATTTGAGTAGGTCCTTAAAAAACGGAGAGCGAAACTTTTCGACGACCGAAAAGGCGTGTCTAGCGGTTCTGTGGGCTGTTGAGAAACTGCGGCCATATGTTGAGGGCGCTAAGTTCACGATCGTCACCGATATTTATTCCCTTATTTGCTTGAATAAATTGAAGGATCTGTGTGGTAGGTTAGCGAGATGGGCTTTGAAGCTCCAGCAGTATGATTTTCATATAGTGAATCGGAAAGGCAAGGAACATGTGGTTCCCGATATGCTGTCCCGAAGTGTGCCCGTTATTGCTGAGGTGACTACTTCCGATCCTTGGTTGGCAAGGATGATCCGGCTGGTAGAGAAAAAGCCTCTGTCGTATCCAGCGTGGAGAGTTGAAGGTGGCAACTTTTAAAAGTTCGTTATGTCAAGATTTTTTTCGGTTTACGGCGACTCGCCAGAGTGGAAAAAAGTAATAGGGCGTGATGATAGAGATGAGATTTTGAGACAACGTCACGACAGTCCGTTGGCTGGCCACATGGGCGTGAAGAAGGCTTTTGCGCGCGTTTCACAGCCAGCTGGGGGTATGATAGAGAGAACCAAGGCAGTCGAGCCTTGGGAAATGATTTGGGTAGCTCTGGTAGGGCCTTTAGTGAAGTCGACCCAAGGCTACCAGTATCTTTTAACCTCCTCTTCCCTTTGCGTACTGCGACGGCAAAAAGCGTATGCAAACAATTGGGGGAAAACGTATTTCTTTTGCTTGGAGTTCCTCGGTAGGTTGTGTGTGACAATGGACCCCAATTTAGGAGTCGAGAGCTTCTGGGCCTCTGCGGTGGCTATGGCGTCCAACTCTGGTACACCGCACACTATCACCCACAGGCTAATCCGGCCGAGAAAATCAATCAAATTAACATTAACCAACAACAGTCGAAGATAAAAGCACTCAGTGTGTCTTGGATTGACTGTAAATAATCGCCCCAATGCGTTTGATTTAAATAAATTGAGACATGCAGTAACTGGTGAGCCTTGCTTGCGGGGCATCCATGTTTTTGTTTGAGTCCATGTGAAATAGCGTGGTACTTGTGAATATAGTAATGTTCCTGCAAAGGCACCAAAATCATCCGCACTATTACACAATTCAAAAAATGCAGTGAGTGTAGTTTTAGGTGGATTTATTGCACGATCAATCGCTGTCTCGTTCGTGAAAAATACACGCTGACCGTTTTCATGATGGATGGCTAACTGTACAACTGCTGGATCCCGCTCATGA